ATAGAAACAAGCTTGTTTTACATGTCAATCCCAGCTCCCTCTCCCTCCCTTCCTCCCCTGCCAACCACTAACCCCCATCCCATCCTCTTTCTGCTCCCCAGGGAAGATGAGGCCTTCCATGGGGGATATTAAAAGTCTGTCATATCATTTGGAGCAGGGCCTAGGTCCTCTCCCATGTGTCTAGGCTGACAGAGTATCCATCTATGTGGAATGGGCTCCCAAAGTTCATTCGTATACTAGGGATAAATACTGATCTACTACCAGAGGCCCCATAGATTACTCAGGCCTCCTCACCAATACCATCGTTAAGGGGGTCCGGTTCAGTCCTATGCTGGTTTCCCAGCTATCAGTCTGGGGTCCATGAGCTCCCCCTTGTTCAGATCAGCTGTTTCTGTGTGTTTCACCAGCCTGGTCTTGACCCCTTTGCTCATCACTCCTCCCTCTCTGCAACTGGATTCCAGGAATTCAGCTCAGTGTTTAGCTGTGGGTGTCTGTTTCCACTTCCATCAGCTACTACATAAAGGCTATAGGATAGCATATAAGGTAGTCTTCAATCTCATTATCAGGGGTAGGTATTTAAGGTAGCCTCTCCACTGTTGCTTAGATTGTTAATTGTGGTCAACCTTGTAGATCTCTGGATATTTCCCTTGTGTCAGATTTCTCTTTAAACCTATAATGACTCCCTCTATTATGGTATCTTCTATTTTGCTCTCCTCTATTCTTCCCCCGACTCAACCTTCCTGCTCCCTCATGTCCTCCTTACCCCTCCTCTTCTCCTCTTCTCATTTTCCTAGCTCCCTCTCCCCTCCCCCCACACTCCCAATTTGCTCAGGAGATCTTGTCCCTTTCCCTTTTTCCAGGGGACCATGGATGTCTCTCTTAGGGTCCTCCTTGTTTCCTAGCTTCTCTGGAGGTGTAGATTGTAGGCTGGCACTCCTTTGCTCTAGGTCTAAAATTCATATATGAGTGAGTACATACCATGTTTGTATTTTTGTGACTGGGTTACATCACTCAGGATGGCTACTTCTAGTTCCATCCATTTGCCTGCAAATTTCAAGATTCCTTTGGTTTTTTTTTTTTCTACTGGTAGTACTCCATTGTGTAAATGTACCACATATTCTCTATCCATTCTTCAGTTGAGGGGCATCTAGGTTGCTTCCAGGTTCTGGCTATTACAAATAATGCTGCTATAATCATGGTTGAACAGATTCCTTATTGTATGGGTTACCTCGATCAAGATGGTTTCTTCTAGTTCCATCCAAGGCTGAGCTCTTTGCTGCTGTTTCAAACCCCACAAAGCTGCTGGCTTAAAACAGAAGTTTGTTCCCTTTTAGTTTTCAAAGCTACAAGTTCAAACTCAATGTATCAAAATAAGGTGTGGTTTTTAGAGTGAGAATCCATCTCATGCTTTTCTTTTTCTTCCCCTTTTGTTAATCCTAGAATCTTTTCTCATACAATATAACTAACCTGAATAGTTTCCCCTCCCACTATTCCTCCCAGATCCTCCTACCTCCACTCATGTCCAACCCACTGCCTTTCTGTCTCTCAATAGAAAGGAACAGGTTTCTAAGAAGTAACAACCAAACTTAACAAATTAAAATATAACAAAATAAAACAAAAACCATCACATCCAAGTTGGACAAGATGAGCCAACAGAAAAATAAAAGACCCAGTTGTTTACATGTCCAGGAGTCCCATAAAAGTACTAAACTAAAAGCTATAGTATACGTACAGAGGACCTGGTACAGACTCTTGTGGGTCCTGTGCTTGCTGCATCCATCTTTGTGAGTTCATATGAGCTTTGTTCAGTTGTTTAGAGGGCCTTGTTATCATGGTATTCCCCATCCGTCTGTCTCCCCACTCCTTTTGCCTCCTCTTCCCAGGTTTCCCTGAAGGTGGGTATTTGATGAAGATATCTCATTTAGAGCTGTGTATTCTGAGGTGTATTTGTATGTATGTATGTTTGTATGTATGTATGTATGTATGTATGTATGTATGTATGTCTCTAAATAATGTCTGGATATGAGTCTCTATATTTATTCCCATCTGCTGCAGGAGGAAGCTTCTCTGATAATGGCTGAATAAGGCACCAAACTATGAATATGGTAGAATATCTTTAGGAGTCATTTTATTGTTGCTTTCCCCTGAACTAGGTTTCCATACTGCCCTTCATATGCCTTTTTAATTCTAGCTGTCTCACCTCATTCTCTCCCTCAATTCCATCTTCCCTCCCCCTACCCATCTGATCCTCTTGTTGTCATCATCCCCCCTACTACATTCTACTCATAAAACCATTTTTATTTCTTAAACCCATGGAGACCTATGAGTTCCTCCTAGGCCCTTCCTATTTGCCTATCCTCTCTGGGTATATGGATTGTAGCTTGATGATCATTTATTTAATGGCTAATACCCAGATAAAATTGAATACATAACCATATTTATCTTTCTGGATCTGCTTACCTCATTTGGGATGATGTTTTTTCTAGTTCCATCAATTTTCCTAAAAATTTCATGAAATCATTTTTAACAGCTGAGTAATACTCCATTGCATAAATGTGCCACATTTTCTATACATTCTGCTGTTGAGAGACACCTAGGTTGTCTCCAATTTCTAACTACTATGAATAGAGCTACAAGGAGCATGGTTGAGCAAGTGTCTTCACGGTAGGATGAAGCATCCTTTGGGTATATGAAGCATCCTTGGGTACATGGTATGAGATTGCTATTAAGTTGCTAGTATGAGATCACACCAGTTTTGTTTTGTTTTGTTTTGTCTTGTTTTATGAAGTCACTTAGTGCTATGAACTTGCTTCTTAGCACCACTTTCATTATGTTCCATAAGTTTGGACTTGCTATGTATTCACTTTCATTGAATTCTTAGGAAGTTTCTAGTCTCTTCCTTTATTTATGTCTTGACCCATTTTTCATCCAGTAGAGAGTTGTTCTGTTTCCATGAACGTCTAAGCTTTCTGTTGTTTCTGTTGTCATTGTTATCCACCTTTAATCCATGGTGCTGAGATAAGATATAGGATGCTGTTTCAATTTTCTTGTATCTGTTGAGACTTGGTTTGTGTCTGTCAGTTTAAAACAAGTTCCATGAGATGCAGAGAAGAAGGTATATTCTTTTTTGTTTGGGTGGAATGTTCCTTAAATATCTGTTATGTTCGTTTTGTTACCTGTTAGCTCTATCATTTCTCTATTTAGTTTTTATCTAGATGATCTGTCTGTTTTGAGAGTGGGGTATTAAAGTCTCCTACTATCTGATTAGTTTCAGTTTTAAATCTATTTGATTAAATATTAAAATGGCTCCACCAGCTTGTTCCTTAAGCCCATTTGCTTGGGAGAGCTTCTTCCAACCTTTTGCCCTGAAGTGGTGTCTATATTTGATGTTGAAGTGTGTTTTCTGGATGTAGCAGAAGAATGAATCCTGTTTTCCCATCCACTCTGTTAATATGTATCTTTTCATTGCAGAATTGAAGCCATCGATATGGAAAGACATCATTGATCAATAATTGTTGACTGTGTGTGTGCGTGTGTGTGTGTGTGTGTGTGTGTGTGTGTGTGTGTGTGTGTGTGTGTGTGTGTGTGTGTGTGCCCCTTCTTTTGATTTGCCTATCTGGAATTAGTTAATCCCTGTGTTTTTATGGTTGTAGTTAACCTCCATAGAATGAAGTTTTCCTTCTAGCACCTTCTGTAGGGCTGAATTTGTAGATAGATATTAAATTTTGTTTTATCTTGGAATATCTTATTTTCTCTATTGTGGTGAAAATTTTTGCTAGTATAGTAGTCTAGGTTGCATTTGTGATCTCTTAGAATATGTAGATCATCTACCCAGGCCCTTCTGGCCGTTAGAATCTCCATTGAGAAGTCAGGTGTCATTCTAATGGGTCTGCCTTTATATGTTACTTCATTTTTCCCTCACAGCTTTTAATATTCATTCTTTGTTCTGTGTTTACTTTTTTGATTATTATGTGATGAGGGGACTTTCTTTTCTGGCCCAGTCTATTTGGTTTTCTGTATGTTTCATGTAACTTTATAGGCCTCTCCCTCTTTAGGTTAGGAAAATTTTCTTCTATGACTTCATTGTGAATGTTTTCTTAGCCATTGAGCTGGGTTTCTTCTCCTTCTTCTATTTCTATTATCTTAGATTTGGTGTTTTTATGTGTACCAGAATTCCTGGAGGTTTTGTGTTAGGAGATTTTTGTATTTAATATTTTCTTTGGCCATAATATCCATTTTATCATATCTTCAATGCCTATGATTATGGAAGAAAGCTTCCATCTCTTGTATTCTCTTGGTGAAATTTGCCTCTGTAGTTCCTGCACAAATGCCAAATTTTTCATGTCCAGAATTCCTTCAGTTTGAGTTTTCTTCATCAATTCTATTTCCACCTTCAGAACTTGAACAGTTTTAATCACTTCCTCACACTGTGCTCTCCTAGATTTCTTTAAGGGATTTATTTATTTCCTCATACTGTTTGTGTTTTCCTGGATTTCTTTAAGGAATTTAATCACTTTCTCTTTCAGGGCTCCCATCATTTCCATGCAGACTGCTTTTATGACTTTTTCTTGGGCTTCAGCTATGTTGGAATATTCAGTGCCTGCTGTGGTAGGGTTGCTGGGCTCCATTGGAGACATACTGCTCTGGCTGTTACTGACCATCTTTCTAGGCTGACATCTCAGCATCTGGGATTGGGATAGATTATAGATCTAGGAGATGACAACTGGTTTTGTCTCTGTTGGATGAGTGTTTCTTTTATTCCTTGGTTTCTGCTTCCTCCTTAGACTTTAGGAGAGTATGGTGGCATATGCTGCCTGGTAGGAAATTTTCTATAGGCCTGTTTCCCTAGCCTTCTCATCAGGCCTAGTCTCAGGGAATGCCTGCTGGCCTTGGAGGCTGGAATAAAGAAGTGAGTTAGGGAAAGGAAGGTTAGGGGAGGAGACCTTTGTGATCCTTTGGGAATGAGTCATAAAGGAAAGGGAGATTGCAGCAGGTTTTCTGCTACAAATCCGGGGATAAGACTGGGGGGATTGGATCTCTCAAGCAGTAGGAGAGGTGCAGATTTGCCTTCAGCCTATTTCTTTCCCTGGCAGGAGTGGCCATTGGCTTAGCAGGTGATACCTGGTAAGGTTGGGGGTGGGTTCAGAGACAAAGCAGCAAGTTAGGAGGGAAGTTAGAAGGGGAAGAGCTTCAGGATCTACAGGATATGGGTCAGGGAGGCAGATGTTCTGCTGCAGAGCTGGAGTTGAAACTGGGGGATTGAATCTGGGGAACAGAGAGAGAAAAGATCCATAGTTAACTTACCTGCTTTTCTGGCAGGCATGGCCTGTGGGTGAGCAGGGGGTGCCTGCTGGAGTTGGGGAGCTGAGATAAAGCAAGGAGTTGGGGAAGGAAGGCTAGGAGGGGATGGTCTGCTGGATCCACAGGAGATGTGGGCAGGGTGGGGGGAAGACTGTAACTTGTGCTGTGTTGCAGAGCTACAGGTGAGCCTGTGATTCTCTTCTAACTTCCACTGGCTTCCAGGAGTTCTTGGCACTCCTGGCCTGAGCATCTTATCATTCTCCATGGTTGCCTTGTTCTTTTCATTTCCTTCATTTCAGAATCCTTTGTTTTGTGTGTCTTCTTCTCTTCTCTGCTTCTGAATTAGGACTCCTCTTATGCTGGATGATCTCCTCTCAACAGCCTTAATTGTGTGTGAAAAGACTCAGTTCCAAATAATTTCTCGTTTACAGGTTACAGTTCAAAATATCTTTGAAGGAGACAATAGTCAGTCTACTATAAATCAAGATTAAAGTTGGTGTTTGAAAGTACTATGTGATGTAAGAGGTGAGGATCTGAATTTATATAACCAGAATGGGCTTTTGCAGGAAAAGGGTTTTCTTTTAGTTTATTTTAGTATGAGATCACAACTCTGGTGTTTGTTTTTCCTTAATAGATAAGAGGGAAAGCAAGTGCAAGTGCCTAATTAATTCTGATGATTCATCAAGAACAAGCAGGTTAAGAGGGAGAGATTTCACCATGGAACTGGAAATGGAGAAGAAGGACTTACTAAACATTCTAGGCACCTAGTCATTAAAAACCTATCTGGTACATGAGGTCTAGTCTCCAGTGTTTTCTGACTCAGTTGAGAAAAAAAATATTTTTCCAAATTTCTCCTAGGTGCTGAGATACTTGAGTGTTGCTAGAGTTTCTTGTCCCACCAAGTCCCTCTGACCTTGAGCCCCAAATAAACATACAGGTGCTATATTAATTATAAAACTGTTGGATGATGGCTAGGGCTTCTTATTCGCTAGCTCTGTCTTAAATATTAACCCATTTTTATAAATCTATGTATTTCCACTGGAGAATGCCTGGACCTATTACTCCTTTTGTGGCTTTATGGCATCTCCTTGTGGTCTCTCTCTGCCTACCTTTTCCAGAATTCTCCTCATCTCCTAGTCCCACCTATCTTCCTGCCTCTATTGGCTGAACAGTGTTTTTATTCATCAACCAATAAAATAAGCATATATACAGAAGGACATCCCCCATCACTTGAGTAGCCATTCAAGCCTGACTCTAGATGTTTATCTTTTGCTTAATCACCTGTAAAGTTCTTGACATTTATCCACACCCAAGCTGGTATGAGCAAATCAGGGCAGCTAAGAGACAAGACAGTGGCAAAGAACATGTAGGAGTGACCTACCTACCAATGGTTGGTCTAACTTGAGGTCCATGTCAGGAGAAGGAGCCCATGCCTGACACTGCCTGGATGACTAGGACCCAGAGATCTAGGACAGAACCAAACAAGACTTGGGGGGAAAGTCAATGAAATGATTCCTAATGATACTCTGCTTTTCTTGTAGACCAGAACCTAGCATAATTGTCATCAGAGACGCTTCATCCAGAAACTGGTGGGAACAGATGCAGAGACCCACAGCCAACAATTAGGCTGAGTTTGGAGAGTCCTGTGAAAGAAGGGGAGAAAGGATTATAGGAACCATAGCAGTAGAGGATGCCAGGAGAACACACCCTGCACAATCAACTAAGCAGGGCTCAAGGGGGCTCACAGAGACTGAAGGGGCAATCACAGAGCCTGCATTGGTCTGTGCTAAGCCTTCTGCATATATGTTTTGGTGGTGTAGCTTGGTATTATTGTGGAACTCCTAACAGTGGAAGTGGGGTGTCTCTGACTCTTTTGCCTGCTCTTGGAACCCTTTTCCTCCTACTAGGTTGCCTCATCCAGCCTTGATATGAGGGTTTGTGCCTGGTCTTATTGCAAATTGTTATGTCATGTTCAGTTGATATTCCTGGGAAGACCTGCTCTTTTCTGAAGGGAAACAGAGAGGAAGTGGATCTGGGAAAGAGGTGGTGGGGTGCTGGGAGGAGAGGAGGGATGTACTGTATGAGAGAAGAGTAAAAAAATAATAATAAGAGATCAGATCTCTTTCTTCAACCATACAACCTCAAATTCATTTCTATGAGTTGTGTTCCTCATTATTATTACAAAATACCCGAACTTAATGAAAGGTTTGTCTTGGTGCATAGTCTATGGTGGAAGCAGGATTCTGAGGAGGCAGCAGGTCACATCATATTCACAGTCTGGAAGCAGAGAATGCTGTCATGACAAGGTAGGTCTTTCCAGCTCAGTCAGCCTAATCTAGATAACCCCAAACAGACAGCCCAGAGGCTGACCTAATCAGCTAGATATCCCCTCAAAGACACCCCAAAGGTTTGTCTCCTAGGTGATGGTAGATCCTGTACATTCATAATATTAACCACTTAATGTACAGATACAATTCATTATTTCAAATTCAACAGATGATTGTGTGTTGTTCAGAATCCCTTCCTTTACATCTCCCTGGGAACCCCATGTGGAAGAAACATATGGCAGAGAGCTTGGGTGACATCACAAGGCACGTGGGACAGGAAGATGCAGAGCCAAGACTTTGTTTCTGTTCTTGTTGGTCTCTATTGTTGGTTTCCAATGATGAGAACAGCTTTTTAACTGGTAAAGTTGGCAGGGCCTCATGCTGACAGTGAGCTACATCTAGCTTTAAGGAATGCATTTGTTTTCTTTTTCTAGAAGTACTTTTTGGAAGGTTAGAATCCATTTCTGTCATAGTACTTCACAAGAATCAATTATGAGTATTTAAAATTGTATTTTATTGTTTGTAAGAAGCATTTTAATAAACGCACTCTCAAGTGTGACATAATGCTGATGAAAGACATCAACAGCTCTCAGTTCTGCTTCTGAGTCAGCCATGTGCTCACCTGGGGCATCCCATTAATCATCATTATGCCATAGTCTGAGCTATCATATTGCTTAATTACCATTTCTGTTACCTATCCATCTACTCTGCTAATCGACACAAAATAAATTCATCAAATCCTGAGGCACTGAAGCAACAGTCTCCCTTGCCTTGCCAGAATTGAACCCAAAAGCAGCTTATCCGTAAAATATGAAGAGACACCAAGCTCTTGGAGCTCTTGGAATATTAAACTTAGCAAATGCTGTCTACAAGAAATCATGTCTTCCTTTCTTCTTGGCTGACTTTAACCTTATCCATCTTTCAAGTCTCAGCTAAATCCCTGAATATTCTGTGAATTACCTTTTAATTATGGCCCTTATTGCCAACATCATAATCTATATCAATTATTATATTCTGCTCTTATAGTTTTATACTGAATATATGGATATTAATTCAGCTATGCTATAAATTTCCCTAGGACATTTCATGTTTAGTGGCCTTTAATAACTATGAATAAAAATAATAAGTAATAACAGTAACACTTACTGCTATTCACAATTACTAAGTACTGGTCTGGGGAGTTTACACAAATTATCCCAATAAATTGTATCCACAGTCTTTGATGGAGGTGCTTTCATTGTCATACTTCTCTTCACAGGGTGAAATCGGGCATGGTCACCCAGTTAGAAAGTGGAGCAGCGTACAGACCCAGGCAGCCTGAGCCCAAATCTCAAGTTGTATGGCCTTAAACAGCACTGCCCCTTCTCAGTGCCTATCAGCATATAAAATTATAAGCTAATTTTATAGCTTATAAAATTAGTTTGTTTTGTAAGTTAATTTTAAAGCATTAGGGTTAAAACATAGACAAAAAAGTAGTCAAAATATCAAGTATAGAAAAGTCTACCTTGGATAGAAATATATCCAAACAAATATTGGAATCATGCTGGTGAGAGGTTCAGTGGGCAAAGACTCCAGCTGCCAAAGCTGACAGCCTGAGTTTTGTCCCAGGATCTTGTACATTGAAAGACAAGAACTGATTCCCCCTGTCTTCCACAAGCATGCTGTCTCACATTCGCGCGCACGCGCGCGCACACACACACACACACACACACACACACACACACACACACACACACACGCACACTAAAAAAATTAAAATTGTTTTTATTTGCACACAGATTTGGAAATATAATATCTTAATGCCATAAAATACTTCCTTGATGGCAAACTGCTGCTCTAGGAGACATAGCAATCACTGGACCAACAGACTAGAACCTAAGTCACTGACAGTCAGCAATCCCTGGCTCCACCATGTGCGGTGACAGGAGCCAGACTTGCTGCCTTTTCTAGAGGGAAGTTAGGAGTGGAATGGAGGAGCCTGATCCTCACAACAGAAACCACACCAGAAGATGAATGAAAGCTGCAATAGACTTTCTGGCCATAATTCAAGTCATTTTCCACCAAAAATTACAAAAAAAAAATCACTTTGCATTTAAGAATTTAAAAACTGGGTTAGGCATGATAGTGTGTGTCTATAATCATAGCACTGGGCAGGCTGAGTCGGGAGATCATGAATTTGAGGACAATCTAGGATACATAGTGAAACCTTGTCTTTCAAACAAAAATAACAATAGGGGGGAAAATTAGTTTTGCAATCAATCCTTCCAGGGCACAAAAATTAGAAGAAATTGAACTAACTTCTTTGTTTTATTTAAATTCTAAATAATTAAAATTAAATTCTCCATATAACACCTGGAGCCCTAATAAGTGCAAAGCATTATACTGTAATACTATGCCTCGGAGGCACATAAAGAGCTGTCAGTAGGCATGTGCAAGCTTGAGAGCAGGAATCAGCAAATGCCATAAGCAGCAGCACTGACCAGCCAATGGACACAGACTTTGTCCTGCATGTCTGGGGTTGTGGGAATGGGAACTGCCAGGGTTCTGTTCCATACACTGCTGACACTTATCTGATTCTAACCTTACCCCGAAATTTGTCACAGAAATCATATACTTCTAGTGATTTCTGACCTTCACATGATTAGAGAATATCTAGAAGCCCTTCCAAGTATTTTCCTCTTGCACACTCTCATTCAGAAGGCCAGTTCTATGCTCTAAGCACAGGAAGCTTTGCTCTAAGCACAGGAAGCACCAGGTCTACTTTGTAAAGTTATTCAGCCCTCCTGCTTCCATGAGGTTTATTTTGCCATCTGTAATTACTGGAGCTACAAGGCTTGGATTAGCTAACTTGTGCCCCCTAAAGGCACAAGAGAGCCTCTGTGGTCTCTAAAATCTCTTAAACACTCATGCAAAACTTTTAATAAAACTAATTCAACAACACAGTTCTACATATGCATAAAACATAAAGCATATAATAAAGGTCTCAACAGATACTATTGGTATTATCAAAAATTAAGATAAAGGAGAAAATTGTAAAAGCTCTAGTCTTTGATCTATTGTCAACTAATTGTGTGACCATAAGCGAGTTGTTTAACTTCTCTATAACTCATATTTCTTACCTATAAAACAAAATAATTGAACATGATTTCAAAAGAAACTTGACAAAATCTTTTTATTTCATCAAAAACTTAAGTTTAGAAATATTCACATGGTCCTGGTTGTGAAAAAAAAGCTAGATGTGAAAGTGAAGGGAGATGAGCTACACAAGTGATCCTAAGAGGGAGGAGCCTCCGTGAGAAAACCCTCCACAAGGTCAGGCTGTTACAGGCAAGACTGTAGAGCATGTTCTTGAATTGTGGGCGGGGTCAACCCTGGGTGGTGGTCCTGCATTCTATAAGAAAGCAGACTAAGTAAGTAATGAGGAACAAGCCAGTAACCACTTCCCCTCCATGGCTTCTGCATCAGCTCCTGCCTCCAAGTTCCTGCCCTGTTTGAGCTCCTGTCCTCACTTCCTCCAATGATGAACAGTGATGTAGAAGCATAAGACAAATAAACCCTTCCTCCCCCAGTTGCTTTGGTCTTTGGCTACGGTGTCTCATCATAGCAGTAGTCACCTTGACTAGGACAGGAGACTAACTGGGAAGGGGATGGGATCGACAGGAGTGGAAAGGGGACGAGGAGGTAATGAGGTGAATAGGATTGAAATATATTATGTCAAATGTATTAACATGTCATAATGAAATCCATCCATTCTTGTGTATAACTAATATACACTAATAAAACATTTGAAAATAAATATTTGCATGAAATTCAAGGAAATGGATAAATTGAAAGAAAATCTAGTGAGTCAAAACAAGTAGAACAAGTCATAATATATTACCATCCTTTCTCCTTTTCAAATCAGTATTATAACTGAAAGTGCCATGTGTGTAAGCGTGTTGTTTTTACACAAATAATTCCATGGAACTGGCCAGCTGTCTATCAAACTAGTTCCTCTTTTGCCCCATATATAGTGGTATGCGTTGTATAGGCTCCCTCACAATGATACACTCTGAAGGATGTCAATGGGAAGCTGTGTGCCATCCCACATACAGCCCACAAAAACACTGTATGTATGACTTCCAATCTCTCCTTCCTATCTGTGATGTGGACATGTGTGTGTGATACAAGAGACTGTCTGAATTACACTTGTATGTGACTCACTCATAGGTATATCAGAAAAACACATTTGGAATAGTAAACAAGCAAGAAATAAACATCTTTCCAACTTTAAAAATTATTCATTATTGGGTTGTTGTGTCCATTACTTATACTCTAATCCAATATTACTTCTTCCCACAAACTGATTAAGGGCCTGTTTATGGTTCTTCTTTCTTAAATCTCCCTGAAATGTAAAAATCATGTGTGACTATGATTCTTTGCTCTTATCTGAGCTGTAAATGTTAGAATGCACAAACATTGCTTCTTGAGACAAACAGAAAGAAAGAATACAACTCATAGTAGGAATTTCCTCCGCATAAGAAATGAGAAGAATTTGAACAACAGGAGAAAGTAAATTCTGAGTAGAAAAAAAAAAAAAGAAGAGTCCTGGAAAATAAGAGAAAGCAACACTAAAGCTAAAAGAAAGGAGCAACAGGGATGTGGGGGGGGAGAGGTGCCTTGGTCCTGTCTCAATTAGATGATAGGACAGACTTAGTAGGCATCCTTGGGAGGCCTTACCCTCTCTGTGGAGCAGATGGGAGGCGGGAGGGGGGAGAGAGTGGGAGGAAAGGAGGGAGGGGGAACTGGGATTGGAATGTAAAAACTAAATTAATAAATAAATAAAAGAAAATCAGGCATTGTGCTGGCCTGCCCCTGTCACCTGACAGAATGCACTCAGGCAGTGCCCTGGTCAGCCCAGGGTTCCAAGAGTAATAGTCCACACGCAGGTGCAAAGGACCCCTTCAAAAGAAAGACTTCCATCCACTTACAGTCTGCTCTCTTTCAGGCTCTTCTCTCTCTCCACTCTCCTTTCTTTCTGCTCTTTCCCAGCTCTCTTCCTGCTTTCCCCACTCTCTCTTTCACGCTGTTCCCCTGGGGAAGACAGGACTTTTCCTGTCTCCCTCTTCTCTTCTGTCCTCTCTGTGTGTCTCTTTACCTCTTTTCTCTTTCCTTCACCCTCCCTTCCCTTTCTAATAAAACTTCTCACTTAAGCTCTGTCAGCTTGGCATATTTGTCCCTGTGCCTTGGTCACCCTCACTTGCCATGGAATCCACCATGGTCCCCCATGCAAGGTCCCCCTTGAGCTTCATCCTAACACTGGGGAGATGGGATCCTAAAGTCAGCAGAGTAGGAGAAGACTGAAAAGTGAATAAAGCCCTAAAGTCTACAGCCTTGGCCCCAAGAGAAACCCAAAGTTATCCAGTGCTAAAAAGAAAATCCATCATCACTCCTCATGTTTCAAAGTCCATACAGGAGCCATTTTGAGACAGGGCCTCTCAAGTTGGTTGAGACTGAGTTACTCTGAGGAAGAGAAATCACAGAAAAATCATGATTTAGAGATTCTGGGGCACTTGCTACATTGTCTGGGTTGTAGACAAACAAAAGAGACAGCCATGAGGATGTCTCTCTTCACTCTTCAGGACAGTAAGCACGGACATTTGTTGCCCTGGGGAGCACAGACTGGAGTAGAGGGGTCTTCTGGAGCAGCTGGGAACCCAGTCAACCCACAGGTCATGAAGCTTAATGAAGCTCACAACAATTCCAAGCACACAAAGAAAGGAAACTTTTAAAGCTAATACCAGGTCTCTAATATCCTGGTCCTTGGTCTGAGTCCAGCATAAACCAGTCTAGGGAGAACAGCAAACTACAATAGACTACTTCTGTTCCCTAGGATCTGGAAGATGCTGTTGTTAGAGAACTTGAAAGAAATATCCCCAGATGTGTACTTCTGTTTTTTCTTGACTCTTTTCAGATAAACTGGAATTTATCTCTTGCTCTTTTCTCCCCCACCCCGCCCCAGGCATATTGTTTTCTTTTACTTTCCCCATTTAACTTCTTTTCTTTTTTTAACTTTCTTTTTCCCTTTCCCTGGCCCCTTTTTATTTCAGTCCTTTGATGTTGTTTCCTT